AAGGTCCAGGTAGCCGCATAAAAAACCCCAGTCAGCAAAATGATCCTCCTGTTGCTTGCTCATAGAGAAAGTACCAAATCCAAGAGAACCTCCTGCATATGCAAACAGATGAAACTGTCCATCGGAAACTAATACCTACTCCCCTATACTGTAGATGTCACGTACCTGGTAAGAGACCAGAAGGTGAGGAGGCTTCCCTTGCGACTCGTGTCCTTCCGCCCCCTGGAGATGGGAACGGGAAGCAGTTGGACAGCGCGGAGCACGAGCGCCACTGGGTCCGCTGAACAGACGGCGTGGAGCGGGAACAAGAGACTGGAGCGTAGTCAGGGAAAGCCACAGCGCCGGGCAGCAGAGTACAAAATCAGGAGGCAGAAGGCAAAAGCCCAGGAAACAGGCCGAGGTCAGGGGGCAAAGTCCAAGCAAACCGGGTCAGGCAGGTCACAGGAATCTTAAAGGTACAAGCACACGGCAACACAAGCTGAAGAGACCATAAGCACTGGAGCGGGGGCAGGCTCGTCTTTATATGTTGAGCTAAACCAGGTAGCAGCATCACTTCCCGTGCGTCGGCTCGTGGGGGGTGTTTTTTTGTGGACTTCCGGGTTGCGCGCGCACTCCGGCCACACTGAGCTTTGTTTTTGCGCGCATGCGCGGCCGACATTTTGCCCTTTACAGTAGAGCTGATGTCGTAAAGAAATAAATGAATGTCAAACCAGCAGATCCCCGGTGACTCCCCAGCAGGGCCATCATGCAAATAAGGGGCCCGAGTTTGGGAAGTGCCAACCTATTATTCCGCCCACAGCCATACTGCGCCATGCAAATGCCAAAAATGACATAAACATCAGACCTGTTTTGTATAAGCATTAAAGGAGAACTATGAGGTGGGTGAAAAATGAGGTGAACACATACCGGCGCTCGCTCACTTCTCGATCTATCCCTGCAGAGAGTGGTGACTGTCAGTCACGGCTCCCTGCAGGGATTCCCCGCTCCGATCCTGCAGCACTGACTGGAGGAACGGACGGGGGCGGGTACAGCTGCCTCTAGATAGGCAGAGCCCCCTGTCACTCACGCAGCTGGGTGGATCTCACCAGTAATGTCATGATGCGTCCCGGCTGCGGCGGCCTCAGTATACCGCGAGCTGTAGCCCTCGATATACTGAGCTTAGGGTGACGGGAGGACGCTAGTTTATGTCCTCCCGTCACCCTTAGGAGAACTATGGGGGGAGAAAACGAAACTAAGCAAATTTTTTGCCGGTGCACATGTCTACTCTAGACCCATTTTGTTTACCAACTATTCAGGGCAAGGGGCCTGACTGGGTACAGATTGATGGGATAGATGAGGAAGGTTCTCATACTACACGGTCTTGGCAAAACCAAAGTCATTGAGATAAAGCAAGGAGCATGAAAGGGAAGCACTGGAGACATGAGGGTAAAGGGAAGGAGAGAATTAACATGAAAGGGAAGCACTGGAGACATGAGGGTAAAGGGAAGGAGAGAATGAGCACGAAAGGGAAGCACTGGAGACACGAGGGTAAAGGGAAGAAGAGAATGAGCATGAAAGGGAAGCACTAGAGACACGAGGGTAAAGGGAAGGAGAGAATGAGCACGAAAGGGAAGCACTGGAGACATGAGGGTAAAGGGAAGGAGAGAATGAGCACGAAAGGGAAGCACTGGAGACACGAGGGTAAAGGGAACGAGAGAATGAGCACGAAAGGGAAGCACTGGAGACACGAGGGTAAAGGGAAGAAGAGAATGAGCATGGAAGGGAAGCGCTGGAGACTAGAGGGTAAAGGGAAGGAGAGAATGAGCGTGAAAGGGAAGCACTGGAGACATGAAAGGGTACGAGGGTAAAGGGAAGGAGAGAATGAGCAAGAAAGGGAAGCACTGGAGACACGAGGGTAAAGGGAAGGAGAGAATGAGCATGAAAGGGAAGCACTAGAGACACGAGGGTAAAGGGAAGGAGAGAATGAGCATGGAAGGGAAGCGCTGGAGACACGAGGGTAAAGGGAAGGAGAGAATGAACATGAAAGAGAAGCACTGGAGACATGGGAGACATGAGGGTAAAGGGAAGGAGAGAATGAGCACGAAAGGGAACCACTGGGGGCACGAGGGTAAAGGGAAGGAGAGAATGAGCAAGAAAGGGAAGCACTGGAGACACGAGGGTAAAGGGAAGAAGAGAATGAGCATGGAAGGGAAGCGCTGGAGACTAGAGGGTAAAGGGAAGGAGAGAATGAGCATGAAAGGGAAGCACTGGAGACACGAGGGTAAAGGGAAGGAGAGAATGAGCATGAAAGGGAAGGGGTGGCTGAAGGCTGACAGACTCCACCTTACAAAGGGAGGATAATGACACAGAGGGAGAATGACCCAGAGCAATACATTCCCGGCCCTCAGACCTCAGCTCACCCCTTTCTTGTGATGAAGTGAGGGGCCAGTTGGAGAGAGGCCCCTCCTCCGACGCTCAGGCTATCAGGCCGGGATAGCAGCATGAGATCCGCTGCCCACCCCGCTCACTGTGGCAGGAACACTGGCGCTGTGGACGTCTGATGGAGAGTTGGGCCTCCTTGACCTTTCCTTGTAGCTCCTGCCACCTCCGTTCTGTCGCATCAGGTCTGCGGCCCTACACCCCCTGGTCCCTGACAAGTCCTAGTGGCAGCCCGGTCCCAGTGGTGACGTGACACTCAGGCACTTCTGATCCGGCCTCACAATCCTCCGCCCGGCAGTCCCTCGGAGAGTGATGACCTCGCAGACCAAGATCTTGACCACGCAGCACTGCAATGCCCAGATCCCCCCCCTAGTCACAGGCGACAGTCCTAAAGCTGCTCCTAAAAGTCCCGCTACAAATCCCAGACCAACCTGCAGGTAAATGAAGAGTTTTCACGGCTGACCTCAGGTATAGGCCCCAATGCTGTACACAGGGTGAGGCTGACACATCAGGAATGGCAGGCGCAGGGGCCACAGATGAAATAGAAGAGGCGGCTGTAGTCAGAAATAGTTACAAATGTCTGAGCCGCTCCACCCATCAGGAGAATCCGCCCTCTGAATGATCCATTCTGGGCGGGGAGCAGGTGAAAAGGAATTGTGAGGACATAATCCAGAGGTGAGTCCAGCTGGCAGTCCTGAGGTAACTGCTGACCCCGCCCAGTAACTATAGAAGGGAAAGGTTACACTCATTGGTCAGCTGTTTTCCCGCCAAAAGTCTGCCACCAATGCTGTGCTCAGCTGACTGAAGGTCTGTCCAGCAACTGAGGTAAATCTTCCTAGCAACAGCAGGCGGCTTGTCACCTGAAAGAACCAGCAAAGCCGCCCCAGAGAGACAGGTACATGACAGTCACCACAGACCTTCTAATCGAACATAATTAGATTTATGAACACATGGGTGATAGGGGCCACAATCCCATGGGGCCACTTTTCTTATTTTGCTTTCGTTGCCCTAACAATCTGTCCAAAAACTGAGCTAATATTTCCTCCTCTCCGGAACTTCTCCGTCACAATCACCGACACGAGAGGCGTTGGCGATTGTGAAGGCAAGATGGCGAAGCCCAATGGTCACAGGGAAGCAGGAATACAAGACGGAACGCAGGAACACTGGGACGAGCTGATGACCGCACAGCAACTGGCTCCATTTTTGAGTCTTTTTTTAAATAGGGAACAATAATACGAAATCACCTGCACTCCGTACAGCGTACACGGTGGCGTCACAAGGGGGGTGCGGCCCGCACTTGGGTGACACCATTGGAGGGGTGACCCCCGTCTGAGAAGTCGGTTATGGACCGAACGCCCGACAGTATCAGGAGAGAGGAGGGGACCCGGCGGCATACCTTATCCCTTATAACTAGTTATCCCTTATAACTAGTTATCCCTTATAACTAGGGCGGTGCGGTGACGTCACGCGCATGCGCGGTGACTTCTATTTTAAATAGGGAAGACGCGCCCGCTAACGCGCTTGTGCCGGAACTTCGTTTGCGTGTGAGTAATCCAGTGCACGCGTGTCTCTGCGCCAATGCTTGTCTGCCTGGAAGTTCTTAAGACACGCTCTCCCCCTCGGCCGGGTCCGGCTGCACTATTAAGGAGCGGTGGTGCAGCTGAATTGGGAGTCCGGCCCTCCCAGAACTCCCATCAGACTCCCAGTCAAACCAGCCCTAGGGAAGGTTATTAATAACACGGGGCAAACCAATATGTCAATGGAGTTTGCATGTTCTCCCCGTGCTCATCCAGTTTCCTCTCACACTCCAAACACATTCTAAGTTATCCGTATGTGAGATGAGACATTAGATTGTCAGCTCCTTGGGGGCGGGGACTGATGTAATTGCTCAGTATGTAAGGAGCCGAATGAACGTCTGTAATCAATAACACGGAAACGTACGATAAACTGCAGTATTTATATCCAACACACGGCGGTGAACTGACTTTGAACGCGCAAACAGGAAGTGATGTAGAGTAAGAAAAGGAAGTGATCTAATAGACAGGAAGTGATGTAGGAGAATAAACAGGAAGTTCTGGCAAGAGGTCAATTGGGAGGGTAGTAGTGAGGAGACATTGCTGGAACTGGCAGAGGAGGTAATAAGATATTTTATATTTACACCCAGTGACCCCCCGTCATGTCCGTCCTCCATAGTCTGTTATGGTTTATAGTATTAGAATATTGTACCGTGTCAGCCAGTGATTAGTGTTGGAGTTTGGGATTCCGGGAACAGACAAGGGGTGTGTCTGGGTGGTGACTGTATCATTGTGTGTGTCAGGTTCCTATAAGGTGTCAGGATGTCTCTGTCTATCTCTCCATGGAGGAGTGGGAGTATCTAGAAGGACACCGGGATCTCTACCAGGACGTGGTGATGGAGAATGCCCCGCCCCTCACATCACCGGGTAAGAGGAGGGAGCAGTACGGAGGCTCCGCCTACATCCCCCATCATCTGATACACACATAGAAACAATGTATTCAGTCAGTGTGTGTGTGTTTCCTACAGATGGATCCAGTAAGAGGAACCCACCAGAGAGATGTCCCCGTCCTCTGTATTCCCGGGACTCCACCCAGGAGGATCTCACCATCCCCCACCATGATCAGGTCAGTGGTTGGAACCCAAAAGTAGACTATATGAGAATTATACTCACCTATGTAGTCTCAGGCTACTGATGCTTACATTTTTAAGATGTTTTTCTTTCATACTCTCGGTCTAGGATGAAGAACAGTTGTATATGAAAGTTGAGGTTAAAGAGGAAGAAGAGGTGACACCTATGATAGCCGACACTTACATTTTGACCTCCTCATTATCTATGTAGTTACATCTGATCTCATTATTCTCAATATTCAGGGTATAAACCAGAGTGAGTGTGATAATCCTGTTAAAGACGAGATAAAAGAAGAAGAGGAGGAGGTTGGTGTGATGGAAGAACTTTTAGAAGAACACAAAGTCCTCTTAAGATCCAGTAAGAGGAACCCACCAGAGAGATGTCCCCGTCCTCTGTATTCCCGGGATTCCACCCAGGAACATCTCACCGTCCCTCACCATGATCAGGTAGGTGGGTCTAGAATACAAAAGTCACTGTAGACTTTCAGATTATATTCTCCTTTATATTTGAGGTGATCAGTGCCAACATTTGAAAGATATTATTTTCTGTAATTTTGTTGGTTTAGAATGAAAAACGAAGGGATATGAAAGTTGAGGTTAAAGAGGAAGAAGAGGAAACATCTGTGATGAATTATGAGCAGACTATGGAGAAGGTCGGGATGATGGTGACAACTAAACCAGAGGAACCTTCTCTAGATATAAACACAAGTGAGTAATGAAAAATAAATTCGTAAACTTCACGTATTTGGGTTGGATATGGAAGGTCCATCTCCATTCCTCAATATAACGCCATGTGACCAATAAATGAGGAGGAGATACTGTACACCATATGAAGGTCCATCTCCATTCCTCAATATAACGTCATGTGACCAACAAATGAGGAGGAGATACTGTGCACCATATGAAGGTCCATCTCCATTCCTCAATACAACATCATGTGACCAACAAATGAGGAGGAGATACTGTACACCATATGATGGTCCATCTCCATTACCCAATATAATGTCATGTGACCAGCAAATGAGGAGGAGATACTGTACACCATATGAAGGTCCATCTCCATTCCCCAATATAACGTCATGTCCCCAACAAATGAGGAGGAGATACTGTACACCATATGAAGGTCCATCTCCATCCCCCCATAGTGGTCATGAATGAACAGTACAATGGTCTCCGGGGGGTCAGAGGTGTTTTGGGGGTTTTGTCTCCTTTATCTGGTTGGTTTTCATATTTTGGGGTTACAATTGGACACAATTCCATGCGAGAGCTCTGTGATGACTTCTAGACTAACATACATGACTCTGATTACTGACGTGTGTGAATGATTTCTCTCCAGCAGATGGATGTGATGTCAGGAATACCTCGGAGAGACATCTTATATTATCTGCTGATTGTAAGTCAGAAGATAATGTCATCACACAGGATTCTCCAGGAGTGAATCCAAACACACAAAATATACATCACAGACCTCACTGCTCGGAGACATCAATGGATCCCTCTGATCAGGGTGAATCTTCTGATCATTCACATACTATGACTGGAAATATCCATCTAAGATCTCACACTGCAAGAGATCCATCTAATCCCAAGGAATCTTCCTCCCCCCATGAAGGAGATCACAGAGGTGAGGATCCATTCTCATGTTTGGGGTGCGGGAAATCCTTCAAGACGAAAGTTGAACTTACTATACATCTCCGATCCCATACCAGTGTCATTTATACATGTTCAGAGTGCGGGAAATCTTTTAATGAGGAAAGCGAATTTCGTAAACACACAGTTGAGGATCGTTATTCATGTTCAGAGTGTTGGAAATGTTGTAATGATAAAAAACAGCTACTGCTGCACCAACAAACTCATACTTTTTCATGTTCAGAGTGCAGAAAATGTTTCACCAGTAAAGGCAGACTTCTAAGACACCAGCGGATTCACGCTGGTAAATATGTATGTTCAGAGTGCAAGAAATCTTTTACTTCTATACACGTATTTCTTATACACCAGAGAATTCATACGGGTGAGCGTCCCTTCTCCTGTTCAGAGTGCGGGAAATTATTTACTCATAAAGGAGCTCTTAATAGACATCAGAGAAGTCACAGAAAGGGCCGTCCTTATTTATGTTCAGGGTGTGGGCAAAGTTTCACTGATAAAAGAATACTCCTCTTACACCAGATAATTCACACGGGTGAGCGTCCTTATTCATGTTCAGAGTGCGGGAAATCTTTCACGAGGAAAGGAACCCTTGTTAAACACCAGAGACTTCACACAGGTCAGCATCCTTCTTCATCTTCAGAGTGTGGGAAAAAAATTTCTACGAATGGAAAACTTCTTAAACATCAGAGGAGCCACACGTGTGAGCGGCCTTTTTACTGTTCAGTGTGTGGAAAATGTTTTGCAATGAAATCCAAACTTCTACATCACCAGAGAATTCACACTGGTGTACACCCTTATTCATGTTCAGAGTGTGGGAAAGCTTTCCCCTATAAAGCAGTCCTTGTTAGACACCAGAAAATTCACACAGGTGAGCGTCCTTATTCATGCTCAGAGTGTGGGAAAACTTTCAATGACAAAGGAGCATTGATTGAACATCAGAAAATACACTCAGGGGACGGCCCTATTGCTTCTTCAGAGTGCGACAAATATTTTTTGGTGAAAGGAAACGTTCATCAGAAGAATCACACGAGTGAGCGGCCTTTTTGCTGTTCAGAGTGCGGGAAAAGTTTTACACGGAAGTCCACTCTTCTTGTACACCAGAGAAGTCACACAGGTGAACGTCCTTATTCATGTTCAGACTGTGGGAAATGTTTCACTGGGAAAGGAATCCTTATTAAACACCAGAGAATTCACACAGAAGAGCAATCTTATTCATGTTCAGAGTGCGGGAAATATTTCACTCGGAAAGGAGACCTTGTTAAACACCAGAAAATTCACACAGGTGAGCGTCCTTATTCATGTTCAGAGTGCGGGAAAAGTTTCACTTTTAAATTTAGTCTTAGTAATCACCAGAGAATTCACAAAGGTGATTTTTCATGTTCAGATTGTGGGAAAGGTTTCACCACTAAAGACAGACTTCTAAGACACCAGAAAATTCACACTGGTGAGCGTCCTTTTTCATGTTCAGAGTGCGGGAAATCTTTCACTAGGAAAGCAGACCTTGTTAAACACCAGAGGATTCACACAGGTGAGCGTCCCTTTTCATGTTCAGAGTGCGGGAAATCTTTCACTAGGAAAGCAGTCCTTGTTAAACACCAGAGGATTCACACACGTGAGGGTCCTTTTCCTTGTTCAGAGTGCGACAAATGTTTTTCTGTGAAAGGAAAACTTCTTAAACATCAGAGTACTCACCGCTCTTTTTGCTGTTCAGAGTGCGGAAAATGTTTTGCACTGAACTCCAAACTTCTTCTACACCAGAGAATTCACACTGGTGTACGTCCTTTTACATGTTCAGAGTGCGGGAAATCTTTCGCCTATAAAGCAGTTCTTGTTAAACACCAGAGAATTCACACGGGTGAGCGTCCTTATTCATGTTCAGAGTGCGGGAAAAGTTTCACTTCTAAATCTAGTCATATTAATCACCAGAAAATTCACACCGGTGAGCGTCCTTTTTCATGTTCAGAGTGTGGAAAAAGTTTCATTCAGAAATCCTACCTTGTTGCCCACCAGAGAATTCACACAGGTGAGCGTCCTTTTACATGTTCAGAATGCGGGAAATCTTTCACTCGTAGACATAGCTTTGTTGCACACCAGAAAATTCACACTGATAAGCATCCTGTCTCATGTTGAGAGTGTGCGGGAAATGTTTAGTTCAGAAAAATCTTGTTCTACATCGAAGAACCCACAATGGTGCAATGTTTTTTTACAAATGAAAAGAAGTCTAATTAGACATCAGAGAGACGTTCCTGCTCATTTTTTCGTATGATGGATTTTATCAGGTGGAACTGTTCCGTCCATAGAACAACTGGAGGATAAACTCATTTATAAAGGGGGCTTCATCCCGGGATAAGTGATATTTCATGTATAGGTGAAGTCTGATGGGTCAAGTCTTCTCTTGGCGTCGTCTGTGTCTTGGAGACTCCGATGGGGGGAAATTTCCCAATCCTTATCAGTTAGGGGGAAGTCCTTTTAAAGGGCCACACCACCAGAAAAGTGTTGTACGTGTTTTATTGAACTCACCCCGATGTGTGTTCTGGAGACTTTTCAGCACTGCAATGTAAAACTCCGGAAGAGACCGGATCTGATGAGAGCTTCATATCCTTCCCTCACACATTCATTCCCGATGATAGGATTCTCCAGAAGTGAAAGCTACAATCGGTGATGTGAGCGGCTGATCAGGTCTGATCACTCAGATCTGGGATCTACTCTCTGTACTAATTTGCTGCATCCAATTTTCATTTTGCAATAAACATTAAACCGCAGGTAGGAATGATGGGAGTGGGCGGAGTCACCTGTATCTGTAGAAAATGTAACGTGCAAAGTTCAATCAATAAAACGTTTGTACACAATGTGCGGGAAATGTGCATTTTGATTTTTCATTCACAAGGACGGCGGTCCATGTAGAGGATTGCAGAGAACAGAAGACCGTGGTGGGTTGGTGCGGGTTCCTGCACATAATTGAGACTCTCGGTGGGCGCTGTTCTCTAACGCGATGGGCGTGCTTGGCGGATCTTTAATACGCATTAAGTTAAAGAGAAACATTTGAATAAACCGTGCGTGGGACGAGGACACCCGGGAACAGTCCAAGCAGGTTTGTCCTGCACATTTGTTTCAGCAAGGCAGCAAAACACAGACGATGTACAGCAAAAAATATCTGCTCGTCCGAGCCTCTAACTAAACTCAGGTCGTTTCCTGAATAACAAGGTGGCCCCCAATGGGTCAGGCAGCTCTTGGTTCCAGCACTTTCCCCGGTGCTCGGCCCTTCCACATTCCGGCGGCACAGTGGTGTCCCCTCCTACCTCTCAAGGATTACCCACATGACCTCCGCACAGGATCTGTCTGCATGTCACAGTCACTTTGCCAAGTCATATGTCTGTGGTTGGCAAAGGCATGCTAGGAGTTGTAGTCCTGTGGTAACTATCATCACTCCTGTGGGTGAGGGGAAGTGTGCTGAGACTTGTAGTCCTCAGAGCCGAGTCACATGTCTGTGTTTGGCAGGGCATGCTAGGAGTTGTAGTGCTGCGGTCACTTAAGCACTTGACATTTTTTTTTACTGATGCGGCTGCTGAGGTCCCCAGCGAGCCGCCTCTTCCCGTCAGCCGTGGGCGTCGGTAAACAGGAGCAGGCCGGCTCGCACATCTCCTCCATCTTTCTGACACCACCTGCCCGCCTCCGGACCACTGGTAAGACACCGCACAGCGCTCCTGAAAGCCTGTACAGCCCACCTGAAAGTCTGCATAGCCCACCTGAGAGCCGTATAGCCCACCTGAGAGCCGCATAGCCCACCTGAGAGCCGCAAAGCCCACCTGAGAGTCTGCATAGCCCACCTGAAAGTCTGCATAGCCCACCTGAGAGCCGCATAGCCCACCTGAGAGCCGCATAGCCCACCTGAGAGCCGCAAAGCCCACCTGAGAGTCTGCATAGCCCACCTGAAAGTCTGCATAGCCCACCTGAGAGCCGCATAGCCCACCTGAGAGCC